GCCGCCATCATCACCATCAGCATGGTTAGCAAACTCCTCATCTTTGGTGATGTGTTGTCTGGTTTTCCTTGTCTTTGTTCGTGAGTGTGGTGTTCTGCCTTGTGTTGTATCATGTGTTCTGTTCTTGTTGAGGGGAAGCAACAAAGATATGCTTCAAGAAGAAAAATTGGTTTGGGTGAAGTGACTCCTGTCTTTTGTACTAGCGTGTGCCAGCTGACCAGACTGAATACATTCAGTCAAGGATTCCAATAAAAATATGTCTCTGTGCATAAATGTTGGTTGCCGTAGGCCCTCAACAACCAAAATTTATTTATTTTGATACACAAAATGAGCCGGACATGCCAAAAATGACATATCAATGTGCAATGTTTTTGGGAATGACCCATGGAAGAATGGGTATTTGGGAATTCACTTTTTTCCCAAAAAAATTGAAATCGACATGGTTCCTACACAGCGACAAAAATGCAACTTGATGAAATTGCAACTTTTCATATTTTTTTCATTTTCATCATGAAAAATGCCTGTACACAGTAGTACAAAAGTACTACTAAAACTACCAAATTAACCTACTTTTTAATGTTGTCTATGTCTGCAACTAAATATCAGATAAAGACCTAGTTTTTGGCAAGATTCATCTCAACACAAATGAGTGTATTGATCATATTGGGTATTAAGGATTATTTCAAATTATTATTATTACACCCACAGTAGTGTTAAGCCTACTAGTAAACAAGTCAGCACTAGTACTAGTACTACTAGTACAACTGAGCTCCATTCAAGAAAGTACCTTCTATGCAAAAGGACTTCCAGATTGACCTACCAGGGGACATATGAGTAGATAAAGTCCACCAATTACAGCAGGATGTAACAAGGCATCAACATCCACGCCATTATCTGAGCAATGGTCCCACCACCAGCAATCTGGACAATTTATTCTTCTTGACAGTGGCCTCACTACTACTAGTAGTAGCCAGTAGTGTTGATGGATGCCCAAATGTTCATGCAGTGATGTAAACAAGCAATGCTGTTCCCTTTCATGGCAACCCAAGAACTCTTCAAATGCTTTTCATGGATACACTTCTTGAGTGTACTACAGAGATGTATCATACTACTAGAGGAATCACATCTGAAGAATTTTTTGATTCACTCCTAGTACTAGTAGGTTATCCATTGGACGACCAGTATTGTGACAATTGACCTTATGATGAGCAGTGAAGTCTTGAAGAGGAGGAATGATGAGGCAATCAAGAACCTGGATGATACAAGAAGGAAAACACAATCCAGAGGAGCCAGAAACAACAAGTCCACATGCATATCCCTTGATCTCCAGGCCTCTGAGGAGAACACATACTAGTAGAGTCTATTTCTTGTTGTACAGATTCCCATTCTTGCTCCCAGGTACAATGTTGTGGACACGTCGTGGTCTAGTACTACTAATGCACATTTACATATCACTTAATCAGAATTGTTGTTAATGTCACTAGAAACCAAGCCATCTATGGTACTAGCAGTTGTACAAAGCAGATTCTTTTTTGAGGAAGCCTCTATTTCAGCAAAGGAGACTTTACCACCAGTGGTACCAAGACACCAGGAGCATTTTCCAAGAGGTGGAAGGGAGGAAAGGGGTGTTCCAAGATATCCATCAGAGAGTTTGGACAGGTATGGATAGGAACAATAGGGATGAGACTTTTTCACTGTTTGATTGGTCTGAGGAAGAAGAGGAACAGCTCAGAATGCTGCCATGGAATAGCTCCTATAACGACGACAGTTTGGCAAACAGGAGGAAATACAGACATCTATGCTTATACCAGTAGTTTCAGCATTAAAAATGTATGGCCCAACTACCCACTGAATCTAACATGTTCATTAGGTTGTTCAGATATATTCTAACAAAAAAACTGGGTCTTCATTGGATGCTTAGATGCTTATTTACACCACAATTAAGTTTGCACTTTAGATGGTGCAGTTCATTACATGCATTTAAAACGTAAGGGACTAAATTTGTACTCAATTGCAAATTTGCAGTTTCGTCGCCTCGTTGGTTCCTGTAAGCAACATTTTGAAAAATATCCTTTTCGTTTAATCGTGCAAAAAATAGACCGATTTCAAAAAAATTGAACACAACATGTGGGACTACTAGTACCGTACGTACTCGCACACACGGTACTCATGCGTACTTTTGCAACCTGTGCCGGTTCAGAAGTATCTCCGAGCGACGAGGATGCCTTTGTCGAACTMAAAAGAGCATCTTTTGCCTATTTAGTGTCGCAGTATGATCAAAGGCGATGTCTCTCCGTGCTCTCATACGTCGACGTGAATCGCAACTCCAGTTGGACTTCAATGCTGAACAAAATATTTGGTACTGCTGAAAATAAATCCAGGGAAAACTGCAATGAGTACTTACAATCACAGGTCGGCATCGTTGTCATCGGTGCCACCTTCACTACTGTTTCGAGACAACGAGCAACAAGATTATAAAATGCGCATGTCCGTGTACTCAAGCAAGATGGGGRAAAACGACGAGAGAGGTAGTGGCTTACGAGCAAGTACTACGGAAGATGAAAGTACCGACGATTCCGAAACAGACGCATTGGTACAATTGCTTGCCCTCCAGAGTTACCATTTGCCTGGGAACAACTGGATCCAGGACTGGCGGCAGTTCATGTGTAATACCCATCCAGTCTTTGGAATTTGCTGCCATTACAAAGAGCATCCCATAAAATCATGCACCCGAATTTTTGCTCTGATCGGCACTRTCACATTTGGTCTAGCAATGACTTCCCTGTTCTTTTTGTTGTTTCTGTGGAATCCCGAGTTCGATCGCGTTGTAGCATCGRTAACAATGAAAGATGGGGCACAGTACATATTGACAACGGGAATGCTGTTGGTTTGGACTATTGGTGGTGGCATTCATTGCTTCTTCAATCTTGCGATCTGGCACATCGCTGCATGTGCTTGTTGCCAACGYGGTGGCTTCTGCGAGTCCTGTGCGTGCTGCCCATCACTTGGTAAATACATGAGTCGCTTTTTTGTGGCGTGTTGTGTTGTTTTCTGTATCATCACAATACTTCTTCGGGTGGCTATCAATGATCAAGAAAACTACGCCAGTTTTAATGAAGGAAACAGCACYATTGATCGAGGTATTGATATCATGCTTGATGATCAGCTAGACTTTAGCGTCGAAAATGCGTCGCAATTTATGTTCATCGTAACCTATCTCGTGGAAGTAACTCTCGCCCTATTTGTGTACTATCCAGTCGGAGGAACAATACTTTTCTCAGGAATGTTGGCGTGCGGGTTCAATATCCCTATATTGGGTGGCAGACCATACGAAGTCGATCGTGAAGAACAACGGAATTCAAGACGGCAAAGAAGAGGTCCTAGCCGAGGATCAAGCGTACAAGTATAGCAAGGTGCAACTGGCATTGAAGAAGACAAGAACATTATTTCTCAATCTTCTAGTCATCGGATCGATAAGATCATAAAATGGACAAATCAACATCTCACGAGCACTGCGGAGGTCTCATTTTTTCTTCAGATGCTATTAATATCTTCCATATCAATGGATCTGRCGTTTGTCTATATTCATCCTCGGGGATAACAATCTTTGATTTCAGCAGTAGCACTGTAGAWGAGAGGCTACAAAGTTGATGGAGTAGGAATAAAAGATTAATAATTGCATTCATCAGTTACTTGGGATTCAGCCTTACAAGAGTCTCTCTCCTATTGGACTGAACTGGCAACCAGGGGTATAAATTGGCCACGGTGCACTAGACTATCACTTTTAACTTTTGCACAGGAGCCATTAGCCTTGATGATTGTCACTGCTCTAGACTCACCAAAGAAAGAAAAAGAAACTTGTTTTTTGTGTAGATCCATGTAAACCTCAGTATCCAATTTTTTGCTAATAAATTAGTACCTTGACAAAAAAATAGGTTATTCATTTAAGAGCAGTAGTACAGAAAGTTTGTCCATGGTGTCCAAACCCATACCAGTAGACCCAAAAAAACGATCTTTTTTTTATGAAAAAGACAATTAAATAAGCTTTCTGTTGACATGCTTGTTGGTGTTTCAAATTAGTTAGCAAGTTACATGTTGTTGAAGTACTACTACTACTTGTTAGATCTTCAGATACTTCCTACCAGCAGAACTAGGTGTGGTCCAGTACTTGTTGCAATAGAAATTTTTGTATACTGTCAGCATGCAAACCTTTATGCATAGTGAGTTTAAGTTAGTTTCAGGAAACAGCAACTAACTGCTTGCTGCTTATTTCAAACATAGTAAATGACGAAGCATATCATCCTGCCCTTATAGCGTTTGGATCTAAGGCAATTGCTGAGCTTTATTGTCAACCACAGCACCTCAGCACCTCTGTTGTGGCTTGCTAATATCACAAAAAGAGAAGTAYAGAAGCAACACACAAACAAGCAATAGTGTTGGAGGAGGAATAGCAACAAGTAAGGAGCAAGGAGCAMGGAGTCCAAACAGCAAGTGTCCTTGTTGGATCAATCAATAAGACCATGTACAATGCCTCCTAAAGGACAGAAAGAATTACATCCTTCCTCTGCTTTCATAGACCACAAGGGCCTGGAGGACTGGGAAAAGGTTGAACTTTGCAAAGAGTTCCTTCAATCAAAATCAACCCAGGAAAATGTTCAGTCATTATCATTACTGTTCATTCCAAAATTTAAGAGAGTTTAKTTCTCCCAGCAGGACTTGCTGGATATTCAGTCATTATTGTGGTTGGTCATTCCAAGACCAAAGTGAACCAAATCCCTCTAAAGAGGACTTGCCAGTAGTAAAAGAGCTATGACCATGGCCTGCTGGGCAAAGCCATTGCACCCAACAGCAATAGTAATAGGGACTCCTTCAGCTAGTATGGCCTTRATGGAGATGTTTTTAACTTCAAAATAATTATCATTTTGGACAAGCACCTGAGGCAATGCTGGAACACTAGATATACTTCCATTCTTTGAGAACTATAGCACCAGAGACTTGCAAGCTAATACAACCTTAAGGACATTGTTGCTTGTCCAGCAATTAGTAATGATACTAACATTACTAACATTGATGTTACAACAAACATCASAGCACTCAGGTCCAGCATAGTTAGTAATATTATGTCTTGTATTTTTTCAGCATCATGCTTTCCTCAGCACTGTTACTACTACTTACCAGCATGCTAAGCCAAAATATGATGGCAAGTCAAAGTGAAACATTAAAGAACTGTCATCAAAAACTGCTGAAAAACTATCAGGATTGTTATGATAGCATTTTCAATGCAGGAAGGCCAAAATATGCTCTTCAACAAGTCACACAATGATTATTGAGGTGGTGGGAACTATTCTCAAAATAATGAAGAAAGTGTTACTCCTAGTTTGATAGAAGGAAATGCATTTAGCCAGATTATTGTTGCTTTTGTTATTAGACTTCATGAAAAATGTGTACATTCACCTCATCAATCAAGAACAAGAGGAGACTCCAGAGGAAAATTAATTAGTTATTGCCCCAACAAATGGAAGATCTGTCATGATCAATGACAATATAGATGTTGAGAGATCTAAAGCAAATGKAGCCATCATGTGCACATTCAAGTGTATCAAGAAACTAAAATACAGGTATGGGGATGGTGAAATTATCAAGATCATTGACAGATAATGAAAACATAGATGTTGAACAATCCAGTGAAAAGGCAAATAGAGCCATGTGTTCATTCAGGTTTGTAAAGAAACAAAAAAAGAATGGGTTCTGGGATTGCAAAATTGCCAACATTGCTGACAGATATTTTGTTTGATGTGTTGATGCTGACAAGGTTGAATGAATAGTGGTGGTCMTTGGAAAATAAAGTTAAAAAGTGATTACACTCATTTCTTCAAACTAGAGCACTGTAGCACAAGCTAAATTTCTATGTCCTCAAGAGGAACATGAATCAAAGATTACACATCAAACTTGAGGAACAAGTCACAATGGAATATGATACATAGTAGTAACTCAATTCACCACTTTTAAAAAATCTTAATGTTATATTTAACCTCATAGACTATTAGTAGAAGAGGCACTATATTGGCCAGAACCATAACTTCCGGGGAGAAGAATGCTCCCAGCTACTCTGAGGGACGGCGCCTCCCTACAAGTTGTGGTTGTGGAAACTCAATTCCCAATGATTATTACTAACACAAGAACTGTTCTCAAATTACAGGGAAGATCTTTGAGAAGYTTCTTGGTCTCAACCTGGTCTTACACGACAAGAACAAGAAGCAATTATTTGATTACTGAGGTTGTGCTTTAAAGAGTTCAGACTTCCAGAGCTGGTGGTCTGTTTGTGAGAACAGTGCTTCTCTTTGCAAAAAAAAACTGYAACAATATTCAACATAGACAACAGATCATTGAATTCCATTCCTATTTTAGAAACATCAAACAGCCACAATTGTTTTGTTAAGATACTATAGACTTTGGTTAGTCTTCATTTGCAAGCAGATACGTAGTTTGAGTTGTCTTCTTCAAATACAACCACTTCTCACCATCAATATGAATTCACTTACATCAATCATCAAATCCTCTGTTCTTGTCAATATGGCTTGTAATCCACTCAACTCTCTGAAGCATAGTATTTGCAGCAGTATGTGGAGGCTTTAGCATGGTGGTTCTTGATTTGACCATGCTTGACTAGACATAGGAGGGAGGTATTCAGAATTCCTATTGCAGCTGAAAGACTTATTAGGTCACCACAATTCTTGTGAGGAATAATCTTCAGCCGCAGTACCTGCAGATCTGATGACAACCTAATGGGTTTCAGACCAGAGTTGAATCTTCTTGAGAGTACTACTACATCACYAGCAGGCAAGTGGTGATAGTATCAACTGTCTTCTTGTACAGCCTCCAAACTCTCACAATTGTCCTGCATGAGAATTTTTTTGTCTTTGCTGCTTCTTTTAGAGCTTCTCTTGCAAGAGTCAAGCCCTTGGGGTAMCATAGCTTGTGTTGCATAAGATCCTGAAGAATAGCTAGTGGTCTCTGGTTGTTAGTCAAGTTCTTGCTGAGCTTTCTTGGTGGAGTAGACAAGGATTTKCTTGGAGTCTTGCTTGGAGTGTCACTTGTTGCAGTCTTGCTTGCTGTATTGCTTGCAACAGTACCATGCTCAGCAGTGTTTCTTGCATAAGTATTGCTTGTATTAGTAGCTTCTGTCTTGTTTTGTTGGATTGCTTTAGACAGATGCAAGGCAGAAAAAGTGAGGGAGGAATGATGCAGCACAGAAGAAGCACAAACAAGAGAGGACCCACCATTGTTGTTTTGATTGCTGGTTGATTGTTCCAGGAATGTGAGGCATGTTGATGGATCCCCTATTAATCCCCCATGCTAGTAGTGGAAGCAACAGAGACAGGATCCCCTAAGAGTGGAGGCAACAGATTCACAAGGCAAGTGGATCCCCTATCAGTGAAAGCAACAGAAAAGCAAGGCAAGTTGCTGGTGATTCCCCCCCTGTTAGTGGAAGCAATAGTAGATGAGTGATCCCCTCCTTCCCCCTGTTACTASTAGTGGTGGAAGCAACAAAGGTGAGTCATTGGTGCTTCCCCCCTGCAATAAGGACTGAGATGCAAGCGTCAGAAGGTTGATACTACTATATCCCTGTTAACAATGGAGATGCTGGGCACCAGCAAGTTGATGGATCTCCTGTTGATGGAGGCACTGGGTAATGYATTCCAGTAGCACCACCACCTCCCCTGTGAGTCAGTTGAGGTGCAAAGAAGAAGACRAAGAAGTAGTAGTACTAATAGAAGAAGAAGCTGGTCTTTGTCAGTTGAAAAGAAAGAGTGAAAAAGGAGGTGTGATGAAATCAAGAGTGAAATTATCACCTAAAAATATCACAGGGGTCATCTTTGCACCATACAAGGCTGTTGCAACTTTTTGCTTTCTTGCTTTTTTTCTCAGAATTCTGCTTGCAGTGGCCCCTGATTACTATTCAATCCACATGATGAAAACTGGTGCATGCGCCCAAGCAAGAATATTTGGCTCATCTATTGACCCACTATGACTGCATAAGAAGAACATTCTTGATAAGTAAGATAGTAAGAATATCATGATATTGCTCTCACTCTTGGTGGCTTTCTATAGCTGTTTTTTATGTCCTTAAATGACCGGGACTATAACCCCCCCTTCAACCGGTACTACTACTACTGGTGGCAGTACTAGTAGTACTAGTAGTAGTAGTAGTAAAATGTTTTTTTTGTGCCAAAACAGGCCCTGGGACGTTGCGAAACGACTCATAACCTTGTACTTTAAGCTACTGCTGGACCTACAGCTCAGCTACTGAGACACGTGCCTCCTAATAACCGTCTACTTTAAGCTACTGGACCTACGTCTCAGCTACTGAGTCATTTGCCTGCTGATATATATGCCACACTGAGCAAAGTGAGCACAAAAAAAAAACGACTTGAAGCTACTTTTATGCTGCTTAAAAGTAGCTTTAAAGCAGCTTTAAAGCTACTTTAAAGTCGCTTAAAAGTAGCTTTTAAGCTGCTTTAAAGTCGCTTTAAAGTAGCTTTTCGGTAGCCGTTGGATTACATATATATATATATATATATATATACACGTTGATGTATAAATATAACTGAGGGCATAGATCTTAAAACTGAGAGCGCCAATTGACTTACCGTTAATTATTTTCAATCGTGGGACTACCTATGATGATTGTATATATATATATATATATATATATATATTTATTTTCAATATTCAATTATTATTATTAATTAATGTTATTTATATAGTACTAGATTATAATTCGCAATCTAACAGTTACCAAAAAGCTACTTTAAAGCAGCTTAAAAGTAGCTTTAAAGTAGCTTTTAAGCTACTTTAAAGCCGCTTAAAAGTCGATTTTAAGCTACTTTAAAGCCGCTTAAAAGTCGATTTTAAGCTACTTAACGCCACCATAAAGGTACTTGAAATCCGCACTAAAGCCAGATTAAAGCTACTTTTATTAGATAAGTAGGCACGTTGCTGGTCCAGTAGCCTTAAGTATCCAGATATGAGTCATACGTGACCCAGTAGCTGAGCCGTACATCCAGTAGCTTAAAGTATCTGGTTATGAGTCGTTTCGCAACGTCCCTGTTTGAATAGCTACTATATCTTGTACGTTATTACCTTAACACTTAACCCAACACAATAATTACAACTGTATGGCACTATTGGATCTGTTTAGTGCAACAACAAGAAGCATTGAGCTTATTCCAGCAGTAGTATGTCCAGACTGCTGTACACATGAACGACCGGAGGAAGTACTAGAAGTACCACGTACTCGTACCAGCACCTACGTACCATACTACTCGTACCGGTAGCACACAGAGTGAACTCAGATATATATCATACCTTCTATAGTGTATAAGGGTACGACGAGGAATTACCCATTRTTTGCATTATTTGTAATTTCTACTGTATTGTGAATTGTGTATGAGTGTGAAGTCTAGAAGGACCGTCCGTATGCGTAGGGGTGCGTTCGTAATCGTACCGTAATATCGCAGACGGACGGCTCGGTACGAGTACTACTAGAAACGGTACAATAAATAGTTCAATTTCGTTTCAGTTGCAGTAACGTTCGCGGAAAAAAATGTTCCTTTCAAGACCAAAAATCTCAACAACATTGAACATGTTAAAGTTGTCTCTCGACAGTTGCGACGCTGGAAACTCAAGTAAGAAGCCCATGCTGAAGGTTTACAACAGACTATTTATCACCTTTGCTATCGGACTATGATTGCGACAATCTCATGGAAAAGCAAAGTTRATATTTCTCTCAGAGCTGGCCTTCGCTAAGAAATAGCAGCGCCTTTTAGTGCAAAACACKTTGGTGCAGACTGACCAGAAGCTAGCATCAACAAAGCTGAGTGATTTCATAWTTGATAGTTTTGAAAACAAGATCGATCTGCTTGGTATCCTATCGCTGTTTATACTGGATCTATGAAAGTAATTTACTCTCAGAAACCGAAATCGTTTCGAGGGGAACGTACGAATCGTCGAACCGTTGATCCCGAAAGCTATCATTATCGCCTAGGAGGTGGACAACAAGAGGAAGGAGGATCCAACAATGAATCACGACAAAAATTGCGCTGGGGAAAGCGGGAGAGGGGATCAGCAACAACGTATTTCAGTAAGAAACGCGATACGTCAGATCGCYCTGTAAAAAAGGAAATGTATATCTCTACAAAACAAAGTTCGGGGTGTTTGATGAGACAAGGGGATTGTCTAGACACAACCTTCGAGAGCATAGAAAGTTATACATGCAGAGATACAAGCGTTGRAATGAACTCGGGTGGTTTGCGGCCGCCCTCACCAGTAATTATGTATGAACAGCAAGGACCATTTGATTTAAATGTTGAATGTTGTCAAATTGAAGTGTCAAATGACGATCAACCTTTCAAAAACAACGCAGCACATRAYAATGGCAATGGTTTTGAAGAAAGAAGAACTACACCGATAAAGGGGGAAGGTGGAGAYAAACAGTTTCGAGGTAGATCAGGAACGGAACAGAACGACGTGAAGGTTGGAGATTCGTCTTCACCTCCAGACAGTCGATCCTTTCGTAAGCTACCATATGAATCGTACGAAAGTCCGGAACACCGAGCGTTGTATGACTCATTTCGTATTGTTCGCAACAATAGTTTATTAGATACTGAGTCGGCAAGCGTTGGTTTGGAATGTGATGGCATCACCTCGTCAATGTTGAAAGACAAACCAGACCGGCTTGAACAGCTTCGTCAAAACAAACGCGACATAGAAACAAGAGTCAGTCGAACTCAAAGAAGTTTGATGAAGTGCGGTGAAGAAAGGCAAGAACGGTGTAACAAGGAACCGACATMTTTTGAACCGATTACCAAACTTCAAATCGGTTCTTCTGTATCAAAAGAACAAGAAAAACGATTTCATTGTCGCCAAAGAATTGCTCTAAGTGCAACGATATCACTTATTTTGATAGGGATATTATTTGTGGTCATGGCACTCTTTTGGCCATCGRAGACTTTATGATTCAAGAAATTATCAACGGAGACAAACTTTCTTTGTAGATRAATCGATCGAAAGCACTCAATTGTGTAGTGATAGGGAGAATACTTGTTTTTTTTTTYMAMMMMAARSCYT